GTGGTTCTATGACAGACATGCGCTAGCGCACCCATAACAAGTCTCCTGTAAACATAATTTTCAAATCAACCATTAACCTTTGTTTCTCATTTGAAGTACAAGTTGTAACTTGTTTAAAGTACTTCACTTACCCTGCTTACGAGGTGTACGAGGCTTGATTACCATATTACACGCTTACCACCTTTCAAGGTTACATCGCCTCGAAGGACTATCGCGATTTACGCTTGAAACAATTGAACATCGACTCCTAATCTACAAAGCGATTGTTGAAAAACATTGCCCGAGAATTTTGAATTCTGAACGTGAACAAAGAAATATTTATTGAATGACAGGTTCTTTGACCATTCTGCCTATGCAATAGTTCTTTAGTGTTAAATGTGAAGCGATGCGTAGTACAAAGTAGTGCACGTCATAAAACAAGGTAGTCGATAGAAGCGAACGAAGGTCCCTGCTCCCTCCGCAGTGGCAGGCAGACGCGCGCTGAGTCACGCGGCCGCGCGCTTCCGCCTGATAGCAAGGTCACCGGCCGCGATGAACACATATACAAACACGCACACTAACAAAACGTGAAAGCAGTGAGAGTACAATCGCGATCAACTACATTTTCCCCATCATAAAAAAAATAAACTAGTCCTTCACAAATTTGAAAAGAGCACGTTTTACATTTTTATAAGAAAAATTATCGTCGCAAACGCACCGAATCCACAAGCCAAAGCCGAGATGCCCCGTCAAAACAAGTCTATTTTTATTTGGTTACAAATTCGAGGTCGTCACCGCGATCTGCAATTATTGAAATTGCAGAGTGTTTTAATTCGGTCATTTTTTCAGATTTTTAAAGACTTTAATCACCAACATAAAGTAATAACGTCTAACATTAAGCCAAGATTGCTACATTTTATTGTGCAATTTCGAAATCATTTATAAGCCCAGCTATCTTCAAGTCGATCGATAGCAATCTCCCAGAAGTTAATAGCATCACGAACCCAACCCCAACTGTAAAGTTAATGGCTAATTAGAGTAGTTTAGTAATTAATCAATTCAACTTTAGACTTCACAATGGACTACGATTTCGACATTTTGCAATTAAACTAGCCCCTGTTTAAAGATAAAGTGATAGCAATAAATTCCAGTTAGCTAAACCACTTTAGTGGTAATTAAGGAACATTACGCATAATTAGTTGGCTGTAATTAATAAGTTTTGTTCGCCTAAAAGTTAATATCACGATCCGTATTAATGAAAATGGAATTGGTTTTCTTTTTTTGCATATTCTACTTTTTATCCTAAAGTCACATGAAAAATCAATATAGCGTTTTTACGCCTACACTGCTAAACCAATTTTGATGAATTTTGGTATAGAGATAGGTAGGATCTAAGAAAAGGACATAGGCTACTCTTTGTCACAAAAATAAATCTTAAAGAGGGTGCCATATGGGCTGAAATATTGTAAGAAGAACTTATAAAACTATAAAAATTAGTATAGTACAACAGGCTACTCGAGTAATTCTACGCAGACAAAGTCGCGGGCGCCCTCTGCTAATTAATAAATGCAGTATCGTATTTCTCTTTTAAATATTAGTTTTACAGCATCGGAATAAATCCATCAAGCCAAATCTTATAAGTTTGACATTTGACTCAGTTATATCGAAATAAATTCGAAGTGCAGAGACAAAATTTTATTCATTCAAAATGACGTCTAATTATGCTATACAGTTTTCACATTTTACGGATGTTAATTTATATATAAATGAAATAAATTCCGCTATTATAGGTAAACGCAACTAATATTCAGTCGACAATCAGTGGAATATTTATAGACTGCAATCATTATTTGCTTGTGAGTTAGCAACTATTTGGCGCATTCAACTGTCATTTCAGTTTGTTTTTGAATAATAATTATATAGACACGCTTACAATGCTAAATAATGTGGAGTATGAAAATAATAAAATATTCCTCGATATTTAATATAAATGTAAACATCTAACACTAACTTTAGACATTCCAATTTCCATAAACTAAAATTGGAAACAATTTTGTGTTGTTAATAAAGTTTGTGAATTTCGTAAACCTTGTTCGAATGCAATTATGACAATTTATATGCAGACAAGCTTGCTCAATAGCGGGCCTTAGAACCGTTGTGTTTTAATTAGATGTAAAGTTAACTGTATATTTACTTAATCTGAGTTGGAATCGATAGTATCGCCACCCACGAGTCATGACGAAACCAGTATAGTACCTACAATAGAATTTAATAACAGTAGTAAAGTAACCTACTGTCTTGTCTGCTGGATTTGAGAGTCAATTTTGTGTTCGTGATTTATGTTCAATTTGTTGAATTGTAATTCAAATCTTACGTTGAGTTATTTGCATAGGTATTTTTGTAGTCTAATTTATTAAAAGTTTTAGTGCAGATCTGTACATGCAAGTGTAGTTTATTGAACGAAGTATTACCTATTACGTATTTCTGTAGTCTATACCGTTAATTTTGTGCATAATTTACGTTTATTATACGTAAAACTGTACTTAGAGTTAAATTTCAACGAAAATCGCGTAGTTGTAAAACATTTACGAGGTTACGTAAATAGTCATTAATTTATAGAGCTAATTATATATGTTTTTAACATTTTGCACATCTGTGTAACTGAAATTCACGTGCACAGTAGGTAATTGAGATTATTGGTATTTCTATGGTGTTGCTTGATATTCAACAGATTTTTTTTAGTAGCAGTAGAGCTCTTTATGAAGAAATGGGACTTGTCAACTTATGTCTCAGGACGCATTGGCAGTGTCGCTCAGATCTTTGCGGTTTAAAGCTCTGCGAGGCACTGCAACTGTTATGGATAGACGTGTAGCTTACCATCAGGTGAACGACTTGGTCGTCCCGTCACTTGAAGTCATAAAAAAAAATTCACCAACATGCCTACCCTTCAGAATGGGCAGACTCAAAAATTTCTTACACTATGCAGAAATACATACAGATTATACGTAACCCACTACAGGTCTTATTATTGGCCAAAATGGGTTACGAAATTCGCACGTTTTCCAAATATTATGAACCTTTGTTGAATTGCAGGTTTCAACAATATGTTTACCTTCACTTTCAACAAGAGATATTGATACTTCAAAATTCACAAATGTACATGTGTACGACCTTTGTACTGAGAAGTAATTGATCCCCACTAGGCCACCTATAATTTGTTAGCAATTTACTAAATTTTAAATTTTTATTGAATTGATATTCAATTATTTTTGTGAAATTACTCCACTAGTTTGTTATAATTGTTAATACAAAGATCGAACACTCAGAAAAAATTCCTTCGGTTTATTGGATTCGAACCGACGTCTTCTGTCCGTGCCAGACGCTATAACACCTACAAATAATAAAAAGACACGACAACAAGCACATGGAAAAATTCGTGAAGTCCGCTGGTTCGTTCCGTGGCTTTGTTGGTATAGCGTCTGACACGGTATGCTAGAAGACGTCGGTTCGAATCCGGCCAGATCGAAGGATTTTTTTCTGAGTGTTCGATCTTTGTTTTACCCTTTGTTTTGTTGTAAGTTTAACCCTAGTTTTTTAAGGGTGATTCAATATGTGTTATTTAATTTTTAGTTCGAGACTTAATCGTGTATAAAAAATATTTTAATTACCTCGATGTTTCGGATGTATTGCAACGTCCATGATCTCGAAGGGACTGTCGAGACCAAGGACGTTGCAATACGTCCGAAACGTCGACCTTCGAGACCATGGACGTTACAATACGTCCGAAACGTCGTGGTAATTAAAATATGTTTTATACATGATTAAGTCCCGAAATAAAAATGAAATAATGTATGAAATTTAAATCAAAGGATTCAATATGTGTTTTTTGGGTTGGAAATGATACTTTTTTATCTAAATCGATCTTAGTCAGCCATGACCATGAGACCTATAAAGTTGGTTTGTTTAAAAAAAAATTAACGCGATTTAGATCCGAAAAAAAGTTTAATTTTCAATCGCGAAAACCTAAAAAGTCGATATCTTTTTTGTTAAACCGCGACACGGCTGAAACCATGTCTGGCTGTGTCGGTCGGTTGTTGAGAGGCCCGTAATATCGTAACAAATCACAACAGCATGAAACGAAATTGTCTTTACTCACATAGAGCAAAATAGGTCGGGGTCAGATAAGATATTGTAAGGTATATCTTGTCAGACCTACTATGTATTTATTTATCTAAATTTTGACAAGCTGGACGAAGACAAAAAAAAAATATCCGGAAAAATAGTTTCATTTCCTAAGAAAAAGAAAAACTTTGAATATGTATGACACTCTTTGAAAACAGAAAGAAATAAGTGTCAAACATAATGCGATTACGATTGTTGGCTCAAGTGATTTTTACTACTCCACCAGTCTCACTCACTTTGTGACGTTTTCATAAATTGGACGCAGTTAAGCAAAAAGGATCCAATCCATAAAATTATCAAAAAATGAGTTATATGTACGAACGCCGGTTCCTAAAGACTAACCTCTTAGACCAGCAAAAAAAACAATATATAAATATAAATAGATATGTTACATGACATTATAAGTTTTGAAAATAAAACAAACATCAAACTGCCAAATATCTCGAAAGTGACTGGATGTGCATTGGATCCTTTTTGTTAAACTACGTCCAATTTTAACATAACTGATAATTAGTGATTAGTTGACAGATGGTGCGCTATGGGAAATAATGGTTTCCTATCTTTCCATTAAGAAACCTATTGGAGTTGATATTAGCTGTAGAACTGCTGTATATAAATATCTTAAATAATATGTACAACATAAGATTAGTAGTCTTTATCGTTAATTACATAATTTGAAACGAATATGATTGGAAAAGAATGTTCTTATCAGATTGATAAAGGTCATGTCGGACTGGGTGGTAATCATCTGGTTACATAGATTGTAAAATTGCACAATGCACTTGAATATGCGAATATAAAAAGAAAGCAAAGGGCGCGACATGAAGGACGCGACAGACGGCGGATGGCGGAGCGCAGAGGGTTGAGCACCCTCGGCGTCACGTGAGGAGCGACCTTCAGGCGGCGCACCGACCTTGAGCGCCGCTCGCCCCGCGCGCGGGTCAGAGGTGAATGCACGCTGCCGCACCCCGCGCCCGCCACCCGCTGTCCGCCCGCCGTCGCCATCGGGCCCCAGCACCGCACGCCGCTGCTACATCTCTACTCACCTTTAGTGCACCATCCTCCACCGCCAGCAACCAGCCCCACAACAGGCAGACACCATACTCCTTTGCCAACCCGCCTGCCGCACACAAGTACCGACGACAAGACGCGGCACACCTTTCCCATAAAATACCACCGACAAGTTTATTGACATCGAGTCTCACGTACGATTGCGCAAATTTGTTTTTTATAAAGAAACGACACATACGAAGTCCTTATTTCAATACAGTGCACTTTTTGTGTAAAACTGAACGTCTATTCACTCAAAAAATACTTATTCACAAGCAAAACATTGAACACAACTTGTGATCGTGAGCGGTCTCACCATGTCCTCTCACCTCCGCAAAACAAAGCGGAATACATTCAAGCAAGCCAGCGAGGTACGAGTGAACGTGACAGGACATCTCGCGGGGCGCATTCGCTTGCCCGTGCGGCCTCCAAACCAAAAATTTAAATTATTGCCATCTATCGACAAGAACACTTACTAACTTGTTTCACTTTTGACGTAATATTATCATAACATACCACAGCGCAGAAGACAGTTCATTTCCCCTAAGTTCCACTAGAGGGCGGAACTTTATATATCTTGCTAGAGATGTAACTCGATATTTTATTTTCAATTAAGTACCGATTCATTTGATATCATTTCGATTTCAATGTTAACGCTTCAAAAAAAAAAGAAAAAGAAACAAAAGACAATGCGAGAAACAAAACAAGAAATTATCATTTGCACACAATTTTGCAAATGAAAAATTAATAATATTTTATCTTATTTAACATACAGTCAAAAAATGCTTAGATGACTTCATGTACACAAACCGAATCCAAGCCAGTAAATATGGTGACTCCCTTATTTTACTATTTTAAACACGATATGTAGTGATCTGTGACAAATTGAAAAATTTACGGATGTCACATTAATACCTTTTTTATTCATAAGAATATGCTGACATTTTCAAGTAATTTAAAGAAATTCTCTAGATGATTCGTTTTTTAAATATTCCAAACAGCCACTTCTTTTACACAACCATAATACGGACAACGGCACATTAGACTACACATTTTTGTTCGAAAATCGCCTACAGTGCAACGGAACAAGATACGTCAATGTGTAGCTTGATGATTAAAAGTGTTTACATTGACATTTTATTTTTAACGAATAATTAAAAAAAAATACTGACTCGATGAAATCATACAGAGTTCGTTACGACTACGAATACCACAACACTATTTTGTTTGACAGCTTTGTCAGCTGGGCGAGTGTAATAGACGTGCGTGTTTTGTGTATTTTCTAATTTATTATTATTTGAAATAATTTTATATTCTTCACGTGCAATTAAAAAATTCTTTGCCACGTTTACTTGTATCACTTTTGCTGACAATAGCATTACAATACTTAATTTAATAAAAAACTAAATGAGTCACTAATTAGAGAGATATATACGTTTTGCGCCAACTTTCAAGGCTGTGGTCAATAAAAGAAGTAGACGGTGGATAATGGTGATTACTTGACATAATGGTGGAGGAAAACGACCGCCCGTATAACAGGACTCCAAATCGGAATACTTTACTGAAGATTGTGATACTCGGTGATGGTGGGGTGGGGAAGTCTTGCCTGATGAGTAGATTCGTTTCGAACCACTTCGATGATCACAGCTTCCACACCATCGGTGTGGAATTTATGAATAAGAGTATAGAAGTAAATGGAAAGCAGTATACGCTTCAGGTAACTTTCCAAGCAGGTTTATTTAATTTGCGACAGTGTTTTGTTTGGGTTTGCATGTGTCATTGTTTGTTTAGGCTTCAGCCAGTACTAGGTACTAATTGGAGCATGTAATTTATGTATTGTTGAAGAATTTTCTGTTCTTTTTTTAAAGTATTTTCTTATAATTTAAATGTTAGGGATAGGAGACCCCGAAATTTCAAAGGAAATTATTTTTGAGGACACATGCTGTGTTTATATACACATACATGTATAATAATAAAAATGGTTTAATAATATGATTATGAATACAATGATCAAACACAGAATTATATTTTTTTAATTTTAATAATAGTTCTGTTTAAATCAGAATAAGTATGAAGACATAGTTTTGTTATTTTTCAATAATAATTGCATAATAACTATTTACAAAGACCTTACCTTTTCCTTACAAGAAGTCTCCTTTAAGTCAAGGTTTTATAATATTTTTGTTATTATCTGATTTAACTGTTGTTTGTATTCATTATTAGTTTTATTTACAACTGATTTAGAGAAGCTAAAACATGGATATAATTTATTGTGTCAACAGATATCAGATGTGATTGGCTAGTATTTTACACTTAGCTGCATTAAAAGAGCTGTAAGTGTAATATAATGTTCCTTACTGTCTCTTAAAGGTCTATGAGTTCCTGCTAAATGTATGAAATTTTGTTTAATTTATTATTTGGAACATAATCCCAAATCATTCAGGTGCAGTGGCGCTTCTGTGAATCTGGAAAGGTTGCTAAAGTGGCCAAAGTGGGTTACTTCATCCAGAAACATGAGTTGACAAATCCCATGCGCCTATAATTTCACCAGCACCGTTACTCTTCAAAAAACCGGAACACAGTAACCTACCTCCTCTGTCTGAGGCATATGTTTGCCCATGAGTCGGGTTACTATCAGTCTCGATTTCTCCAGACACACCCATCGTTTTGATCTGCTGTCTGGATTTTTCAGTTTAGTATACCAATTTATAGGATAAAAAGTAAAATATCCTCCTTGTAATTCTGTAGTAAAATGTTATTTATTACAAAAATTTTCTTGCTTGGGCCCTTCTCATCTCAGTTCTTGCCTCAGAGAGATATTTTCGATTTTATTTTGTTACTAATAGTCTAGACTTTCTTGCAATTGTGACAGGCTTTTTGTCCAGACTATTTGATAGTAACGGTAATCCTACCCAGGAGTGAATTTCGTAACATTGTAAGATGGTGCAGAGGCATATCATTTGCATCAGACCAGGAAACGAGATTGCACCATAGGTAGCACATTTTGCATGTACACTTTTAATGAATGGTTTTTTTTATAAAATCCCATAAGTACTTATGTCACTTCTTTTTAAAAACATGTTTATGTCTCCTTAGGTATGGGATACAGCAGGCCAAGAACGGTTCAAATCCCTCCGTACCCCGTTCTATAGAGGCTCGGATATATGTATATTGGCATATGGCATTGACGACAGAAGTTCCTTCAACAACATTAAAATGTGGCTGAATGAGTTCTTGCACTATGCTGGAGTTAAAAATGGATTTGAGAAGTTCCCCTTCATGGTTGTTGGTAATAAGGTGAGAACAAAATTTTTTTTTTTATCTAGTGTTGGAAATTAAAGCGTCTATTGCAAGGGACCCTTCCTTAAAAATAGGGAGGTGTAATAAGAATTAGGGTCCCGATGTAGGGTGATCGGGTCGTCCCGATCTGCAACGCCCCGTAGCTAGGGCAGTTAAATAACATTTAGGACAGTTAGGGAGATCAGTCGTCACGCGTGACGAACGCTTAGAGCAATCGTATCGTTTCGTCCCTTTGATTCGCACTGCCATTTTGTCTTCTAGCTAGCTAGTAAAGAAAAAGAAGTTTTGTTGCGCCTGGTAAACATGTACAAACTACCAAGTACCACCAACCAAGGACCAAGTAACTATTGTCTTTTTAAAATCACAAACCAAGTAACTATCATCTTTTTAAAATCAAAAAGTTCAGAACTAACGTTGGCTACAATGCTATTTTGAACCGAGTTTGCCGAGAGTACAATAATTCTCTTAAAACATATATACATAGATTAACTGACTTAGATTTGTTTTCGTTGTCATTAAATAAATATAAAACTTTATTGTATAAATGGTCAGACTAAAAGTACCATAACTTTACAGTTTAATTTAGCATGTTTACTTATTGGTTTTGTTTTATCCATCAATTTGTCTGTAATGTAACATACAAAAAATGCTTTTGACACAAGCTTCTGATATGTGCATGCTGTGTTTGCCTATTATTGGGTTTACACTCGAGTATTTTATGTAATGTTATTGTTTGTTCATGTAAAATAGTGTATTTCTGTTGGCAAATCTAATAAATAAATAAATAAATAAATACAAAGACATCACGTATGACACCTATCTATAGAAGAAATATTACAAAGACTATACGAAGCAGAATGTACAGGCTTTAAAGTTTTACTTGAAATTCACAAAATTTCGATGAGAAACAACAACAACAAATACAAGCTTCGATGACGCCATGATAGTAACACATACAACGCTCTCGACGTTCGCGTTCAGAATGAGTTTAGGCCTGGTTGGCTGACTAGTGTAATAAACGGCTCACTACTAAGAGGCCACAACCACCCATGAAGCAGGACCCTAAAAATTGTGTAGTGTAATACGCGTTTAGTTCCGTAGCTGTGTAAATAGTTTTCCTGTTATACTTAATTATAACGTCCCATGCAATCGCACCAGTTACTTGGACGCATACCAGCAATTCCCTGCACTAAGAGTATTGTCAAAATGCGCGTGTTCGCGCATTCCGCGGAAGATTTTGGCTCGTATCTATTTTGTACGTTACGCAATTGACCATAAAGTTCATTATCCTATGTTACAAAAATTCGCTTCCACTCCGTTCCGCTGCAATATAAATTGAGCCTAAGGGCTCCGTATGTTATTGATTTTTTTTTACAGTATCATATGAATTACTTCGTAAATTAACCTAGAGTAAATCGTAAAAAAGTTATTATAGTTTATTATAGTACACAATTCAAAGCTGAATAAAAAAATATATATAAATTGATTGAATTATTTATTCAGTTACTTATTTATTAAGTTATGAAATTGACCAAAAAAAAAACCTACTAGCTGAATTAAAAAAGCTACAAGCTTTCTTATTTAACGTTATAAAAAACAAAATATGAATATACAGTAATTATTATTATATATAATTGACTAATTATTGTCATATCCAAATGGGCTCAGAAATGTACCAAAAATATTGGAAATCCTCCTCCGCCTCTCTCTAAATATAACTCGCAGTGCCCTGCCCTACCTTAAGTAGGGCATGACACTGCGAGGGCACTCCATCCTATGTAACATTATGGCAAATGCAATAAAGAATTGAATAAAAACATTGATTAAAAAAAAACACATTTTCAGTATTTGGCAAAAACGTGCTTGATCCCTAGACGCTTTTGATATGTGTACTGTACTGTACACTTCAAGAGATTTTATCCCAACCAGTGATGGTGTGGTAGGGAAGAGTGGAAAAATAAATCCACTTGTCCCCGCCAAGGGGGAGCGCTGGTAGGGACTAGTGGAAATGAGCTTTATTTTGTTACAATAACTTTATAAATACAAACAGTAAGTTTTTTTAATGTTGTGTAAATGACGTAAAATGTAAAACACAGTTCAACAAACATTATTGTACCGCAGTTTTTACCCAAAGTTTAATTCCTCTGTGAATAATATTTAAATAATCTCGCTGCAGAGTATAAGAAGACCGACCTCAAAACTTCGTGGAATTTCAATGAATTGTCAAATAGATGTACTATTTGACAATTCATTGAAATCGGTTACATCCCCTATTTTGCCACCTTTAGAAGTGGGATATTTTCTTCAAATTGAAACACAGGTACCCTCTTTCCAACAAAAAAGAAACATCAAAATCGGTTCACAAATGCCGGAAGTTATCGCGTAACATGCATACAAAAAACATACTGTCGAATTGAGAACCTCCTCTTTTTTTTGAAGTTGGTTAAAAATTCTGGACATTTTTGGAAAGGTAAATAATAATAATAATAATAAATATACTAATAATAATCAAAATACTGTTTTGACAAAATACTGTTTGTACAAATTATCGATCTCTGCTTTGGTGATTGGATGGTGGGTCAAAGCATTGAGGGCATGAATATTAATGAGCCAACTAAGGTGCGTCAGTGCCTTCGGGCAGTTACCACTTGCTTTATCTGCAGCATTCAAATATCATGACTTGAATTTAAATGCCGGCTCTTTTCAAGGTGTTCAGTTACGTTATCTCTGTAATACAGACGTTCCTATTCGCCAACATTTGGTATAACAATTCGACAACTACAACAGATACAAATTATATTAAAATTTTCTTTGTACTTGTAATTCTTCGTCTTCTTTTTGCCAAATGGCGCTACCCTTTGGTTTCACCAGTATCTATAGTTTTCGGCTTAGTAATTTTAAGCGTTTTTGTAGACTGCTATTCAGTTTGAGAGCACAATGTGTATAAAATATTCAGAAGCTGCAGTGGTGTTGAATTACCTGAAAGGGACGGAAAACAAAACATATATAGACACATGTTAGTAAGTATGTCAGCCAGGACGAACAAATTATGACCTTGTGTTATTGCTGGTTACATAATCACAAAGGTCGTTCGTGCAAGTCGTATCCACGTGGCTTAAAATCGTATTAAAATTTGTGGGTTTGGGAATAAATGATAGGAGGATATCGTACAAAGAGACGGGGTACTTGTTACAATCGAAAAAAATATGATCCGAAGTTTTTTCGCCCAGCCCGCAAAGTGAGGTTTCCTTTACTCTAATGTTAGCTAAGTGAACTGGGGTGCTCGAGTGGCCGAGCCTTAGTCTGCCTGTGGTGGAGATGCAAGATTTCGATGCTTTGTTAAATTTAAAAAGCCAAGGTTTACTCGGGATGATATTTTGAATGTCCGCATAAGGACGCGTGTACACGCTAAGAAATTCGACGTGTCTGCTACAGAAAAGATGAGGAAGGTCTTGTACACGACAAGAACTTTGTCGTATCTAGCCACGAAAACATATCGTGTCTGTTGCATAACGAGAAAATGATGAGTATGTACACGATACGAATGCTTTCGGACAGACGTGTGTAAGGTAAGTAATAAAATGTGTCAATGCATTACGAGTCTTCCAGGTAGCTGTCGTTTTACTACCGACTGTGGGAAGAAATATGTTGTAGTATATGTTATTACTAAGCAACACCCATAAACGTTCGTTTACTGACAATGCACCCCACCCCGCCCCATATAATAGCGGCAGAGCGAGTCGTATCGGGGGTAGACAAGATCTTTTTTTCTTGTCCGGCGCCGAGGCAGTGTACACAGTTCGTGTGTAGAAACGACACGAATTCTTGCATGGACCCTGCGACTTTTTTTAGCGTGGACACGCGCCCTTATGCTTTCCTTTCACTTTGCTGCTCTCTTTCCATTCGACATCCCATATGGACATCATCTTTTGAGTTTCCAGTAGGGGCAAGTCATGAGAGAATAATTAAGAGTAAATAGGGCATCCAATTTTAGTGGCATCTTTTGCCATCAAATCCACGGTCTCGTTACCTACTATACCAGAATAACCTGGGATCCAGGCCAAAGAAACTCTAATTTCTTGACTGAAGCAACTGTATAGCACAGGGAAAGGTACTTATAATCATTACGTAATATTTAATGTAAAAGGAAGCGGAAATCGGGTAAATGGAGCTCTTTATGTTTAATTTAGTTTATCTCTCTCAACATTACAAATTTCATACAAATACAATTACATGTCATTTTACACTACTCTTCGTAAAGTGAACGTCAGTTTACAAAATAATGAAGAATATGGATAGATAAAACGTGTCGAGAAAGGTGCGTTTGACCTTGATAGTGAGTGTTGAGTATGGCAGACAAAGCATGAAAGGAGGGTACTGTAGAAGTGACAGCTTTTCACAATATCTGCAGTGTTTGTCTTAAAGACATATTGCCAAATAGAGCTTGCACCCGGGTATACCGGAAAATCCAGGTAGGTACCGGAGAGGCAGTCGGTCCCGGTACCGTGATTATAGATATCCGGTTCGACTTGTGTTTTATAATCAGAGGGATACTCGGATGTTATTTACCTAAAATTCGGCTGCTGACATGGAATGCGCTGGTGTATGGAAAAAATCCCCGCGACCCCGATTGATGTAATTATTGAGGTCAAGTATAAAAATTTTAGGAAAATTAACGTTTAAAACGTTATTTGTAATTTTACTTAATAATTATTATTTTGTTTTCTGCTTAATATTTGAATTAACTGTTATCTTATTTTTCTAAACGTTTTTTCTTTTTAGTCAAAAATACGAAATCTTAGAACATCAAAAAAAACGTAGTTTTAATATTTTATTAATCGAAGCAACCATAATATTGTACTATCAGCAAACTAGACGTAGTCCCAGTTTCAAAACATTTGTTTGTAAGCTGAGATTGTAGCCAACCCCGCCTCTTCTTATGGAGTCGTTATTACGTAAATTATTGAATAGGTACGAAAAATCCGGGAAAAATATAC